GCTCTGACAAGGTTGACATGTTCCTCTTTTGTTTCGGTGAAGATAAGAATGTCGTCCAAGTAAACAAGGACCCCCTTAAACAGGTGCTCCCTTAGAACATCATTGATTAATTGCATAAAGACTGCAGGGCCCCCTTGTAATCCAAATGGCAAGACTTTGAATTGATAGCACCCCATGGGGCAGTTAAATGCAGTCTTCCATTCGTCCCCTTCCTTAATTCTCACGCGATAGTAAGCTTCCCTTAGGTCTAGTTTAGAAAAAATTTTCCCTTTCGATAGGTGTGACAGCATGTCTTTCATGAGGGGTAGAGGGTATAGGTTGCTTTCACTGATTGTATTCAGGGCCCTATAATCCACGCATAAACGTAAAGAGCCATCCTTCTTCTCTCTAAAAAGGACCGGGGCAGCCACTTTAGGCTTGGCTGGCTCAATGAAACCTCTCTCCAGGTTTTTTTTTATAAATCTTTCCATTTCCTCCTTCTCCTTTGGGCTCATGGAGTATAATCTGGGCTTCGGGAGTTTTGCCCCAGGCTTGAATTCAATGGCATAGTCTGTGGGTCGGTGGGGGGGGGAACTCATTCGCCCTCTCCTCACTGAAAACATCAGCAAGGTCTCTATATTCCTCTGGTATTTCTGTTAATCTTTTTTCCTCTCCTATGGATGCTTTTTCTATTCTTGATTCTGGTAGCCTCCCTTGGGGTTTGAAGTCCATAGGGTCCCCCTTCAGGAATTTGATTTCTGTCGTCCTCCAATTTACCCAGGGGTTCCATTTTTTCAACCATTCCATCCCTAGAATCATTGGGCATTCCATGCCTGGGGTCACCACAAACGTTATGTCCTCCTCATGTTTGCCCGGGGAGAGGTGTATTGGTAGAGTGGCTAGGGTAGCTGGCACTCCCCCTGCTATGGATCCATCTAACTGGCCAAATGAGATTGGTTGTTCCAGTCTCCTCGATGGGATGCCCAGATGCCCCGCTAGTGTTGGGCTAATAAGGCAGCGGGTGCAGCCAGAGTCTATTAAGGCTTTCACCTTCACAGCTTCGGGCATGGGGGGAATTAATATAGTCACTGTCTTGAGGATGGGTGTGATGTGTCCACTTACCAGGGGTTCGCCCTCCGAGCTGTCATCTGAGGCATCCACCGGCCCTGTGGTGTAGGCTGGAGTTCTTTCCCCTTGGTGAGTAAAAGTGGGGGTTTCTGCAATTTCCATCATTCTCATGGCAGAAACTGCCATGGCTTAGCTGAAGACTTTCTGGATTTGTTGATTGGGGATCTGTCTGGGTTGTGCTGGGGGGCTTTGGAGTGGCATTCTACAGCTCGATGCCCTTCTCTTCCACACTTGAAACACCCCATTTGCTTCTTGGCTGTAGCCAATGATTTCACCGGTTCGTGTGTCAGCTCAGGTGGGGGGTGGTTCCATTGTTTTCCTCGGCGGTGTCTTTTCAATATGTCGATCTCTGCTTCCTCTGCCAAGATGTACCATTCCTCAAGTTGGTGTGGGGCAGGCAAGCGTCATATAGATCATAATTTAGTCCATCTTTGAAATAGCTAAGGAGGATGTCTTCTGGCCAATTCAGTTTGCTGGCAATGGCCCGGAATTCTTGTGTATATTCAGCCACCGGGCGTTTGCCTTGCCTCATCGTTTTTATCCTTTCACGGGCTTTGCGATCAGGCAGGGGGTCTTCAAATCGTCTTCTCAGAGAGTACATGAAGCGGTTGAAGTTACTGAGTTCTGGGGCATTGGAGTCATGCAAGTTCACCACCCAATCTGCAGCCGGTCCATCCAGGGCAGATTGCACAATCCGGATGTGGGCTTTGTCGCTGGGGATGTCCTGCCCGTATTCCTCCATGTAGCTGAGGACTTGGGTTAGGAAAAACCCCAAGCGTGTTGGCTCCCCTTTGAATTTCACTTCCAATGGCGGACGTGTTGGAATGGATCAATGCCTCCATTGTTGGTGGTAGTGTCTTCCATCCAGATTGCCATCTGTGGTCCAGTCGGGGGTGGGGACTACTGGATCAGTAGATGTCCCCGGGGTTGCAGGTTCCACTTCCCCCTCGGTGTCTCTCCCTTTGCGGCTCCAGGATTTGGGGCGGCCGTAGGGCTCAGGATTCTCCTCTCTTAGGGAGCTGAGAGTTCTCTTCATCAGGTCAATAGTTTTCTCTAGGATCCAGTCTGAGTACGGTGCCCAGCTTTCTCCCTCTTCACTTGCGGGCAGGGATTTCTCCATCTCCTGCTTCCATTCTGGTTGCTTGGTCCCCCGTCTCAGGGTCACCTTTCTTGATTCCTTTCCCCACTCACTTTTCTTTCCAACGCCCATTGACCAGCGAGGCTTGTGGTCCCGTGTCTCCACCACTTCTTCTCCTGAGGAATCTGACCTCTCGGATCCCAACATCTGGCAAGGTTCCAATTTGGTCAGCGGCTCTCTTTCCAGGGAGTTTTCCCCCTTTCTTGCTCCATTGTCTGACATGGTAATTTTTTGCAAAATCCCCTGGCAAGGGTCTCCCTTCCAGGTGGATTAATTTTGCAAGTCCTGTCTAATGTAAGGACCCACCCCACTTTGCATCTTAAGAAGACAGAACTCTTGGAATAATTCTTCCAACAGGAATCCTTTATTAAGAGAAAATGGTTGCAGGCGTTCTAGACAGGACTTGGGGTCCAAGCTCTCCCATTCGAGGTTTTAAGGGGTTCCCCAGTAGTCCCACCCAATCACCCCCCTCTTCCAGTGACAGTTTCAGGCATCACAATCCCACCCCTTTTTTCCTTTCTGCCGGCTGGATGGAGACTTCAGATAAACTACATGAAAGGTAAATAGCCTCCTTTGTTATGATAAGGCCTTTTGGTGCTAACCACATTCAATCCCTTTGAAGTTGTACCGAAGGAAGTGAGGGCCATAAAGCCCCTTTGTTCACCCCCTTCTCTTTCTTTATGACAGAATCCAGAGAGGGCAGAAATGGGGTTTTCTATAATTGATAACTGGAGATGAAGTATAATTGGATTGACCTGTTTTCCTTGTTACCTTCTGGGAGGAGGCTTTGTGGTATCTGAAGCAGAACATCCAGATTCAGCCAGAGTTTCATTCCATACAGCATTAACCTTGCAAACTCTCAAATTTCCTCCTTCCTTTATATATTCAATTTCCTCCTTCCTTTATATATTCAAGATGGACAATATTTAATATTTATTTGCTACGTATATGTAGGGATGTGGGCCTATACATATGTTGTTCAAGTATGTTTAGGTGTGTGTCATGTATGTGTTTCACTTTGTGAGCGGGCAACTAAATTTCATTTTTGATGTGTGCCATTGTGCCCACAGTATAACAATAAGAATAAAGGTTATCTTATCTTATCTTATCTTATCTTATCTTATCTTAATTCCTCATCCAGTCATGCTGGCTGAGGAATTTTGGGAGTTGAAATCCACAAGCCATAAAAGGGCCAAGTTTGAAGACCCCTGATCTGGATGGTTCAAACAAGCCTATCTGCAGTGTGAAGATGCTGTGGGAATGGGGCGATAAGGCGCTGCTTCCAAGGCTCTTAGATCTCTCTCTGCCACTTCTTCTGCACTTGGAGATAAGGCAGATGGCCAGAGGCACATTCCATTCTCACCCCATGGAGAAACATCAAAGAGGATAGAGCAAGGAACAGAGCAAAAAGAAATACACATTAGCAGCCCAAAGCTTCCCCCTCCCTCCCAGGACAATGGCAGAATCTGAAAAGAACAAGAAACTCCATGTCTATAGAAGGATAGGGTTCTGACAATCTATATCTATTTATATATCTATATAGAATATAGTCTCTAGTATACAAAAACATACTTATTAAACATATAAAATCATGTCTATAATAGAACCAAAGAATAGCCATGTTTATCCTATTCATGAACCCTTCAGGAAACTCACGTTGCTGAAATGCATGGCATGATAAGATATGGAGTGGATGTGTGTGTGTGTGTGTGTGTGTGTGTTAGCAACAGATAATGGCTGGTACATGGAGTGGGTGTATGGAATATGATGTGCTGCACTTTTCAAGAAATAATAGAACAAGGAAAGGAATTACACGAACCATCTGAAACATTTCTGACATGTCATGAATTTAGACTTGGAATAAATAAGTTGGATATAAAAGGAGAAATAAAATGCAATGGACTTTGGAAGCATCAGACCTCCATGCGGAGTGGGGGACACCCTAAAGTCTAATTCCCAGCCCACTCTAACACAGCCTGGCCAACTGTTGTTGAGTGTTTGTAAGTATTGATTGTGTGAATGAGTAGCCTAGTTGGGCAGCAATACTTACAGTAACTTGAGTAACCTTGTTGGACACAGTTATTTGAATGCGGGGGTGGTGGCGCAATCCTCACATCGGGGCAGCATTGTTGTGGGCTGTGGAGCAATCTTCATGTGGGGGCAGCAGCGTGATACTTGCACCAGGGTGGCATTGCTATGGGCCGTGGTGCGATCCTCACGCTGGTAGCATTGCCGCGAGCTTGGCAGCGGCACCACAAGCCTCACACAGGCGCCGCTGTTGCTAAGAGCCTTACACACATGCTCACAGCCCCGTTTGTGTGGTGCGCAGCCTGTTTTTACACACACATGCATGTGTGGCCACATTCACATTTGTGCATTTGCACATAAGGTGCCTGCCCCTTCCTCTCCCATCGGGCCATCAATCCAAAAAAGTTGGAGACCCCTGATCAGTGGTGGAATTCAAATATGTGAACAACCAGTTCTCTGTGTAGATGCTGCTTCCAGAAGTCTATTCTGGGCCTGGACAACAAAATATTAGCTACCAGTTCTGCTGAACTGGTGTGAACTGGCTGAATCCCACCACTGCCCCTGATGTAAGGTTTCAATTAGTGCCTTGAATTGTATAACGGTGTCCAGATTTAGTATAAGTGGATATGACAAATTAAATTTATCCCATATACATCTTTAACTTCAGAACGATGTACTATATATTTTTACTGTAGAGCTTGTGATTCATTGTTATTAAAGCAGTTACCTTAAAATTCTCTTCTGTTAGTCCCTCTTCAGTTTTAGCATCTCTTATCATTGCTGCCACATATCTCTTAACCAAATTCCTCATCACCTCCTGAAATATAAGAACAAGGTTGTTGATTAATATCTGATGAGCAAAATAGTTGTTCTGAAAAGTCTAAATGATGAACTTCTGTGGCCAATTGTATCATCTTTATCATGCTGGCAAGGGAATTTCTATTGCCTCCTTGCTGTCTTCCATGTTCTAAAGATTGGGACATAGCTACTGAATTATGATAAGTAGAACTGACTGCAATTTTATTACCATGTGCTGAAAATGCTCTTGTAGAAATTAAAAGACAAAGTACTCCCCAATCTGCTTTATCATAGTGAATAATAGATAAATTGCTGTCTCTCCTTATGATTTTAATTTTAGTCATACTAGGTTGTGATTTATGCTATATTCACAAAGCAGTGACAATATGTACTTGAGAAATACATGTGTATGAAAGATTTTTCAAGTCCTTTGTTTTACTTTATACTGCTTTTTATACAAAATTTTATTGAATATACAAATAAAAAACATAAAAGACACATTAAACATAATACAATTAAAGACAAAAAAGACACATTGGACATGATACAACTTCCCTGTTTAAATGACATTGTAAGGACCCACCCCACTTTGCATCTTAAGAACACAGAACTCTTGGAATATTTCTTCCAACAGGCATCCTTTATTAAGAGAAAATGGTTGCAGGCATTCTAGACAGGACCTGGGGCCCAAGCCCTACGGTTCAAGGTTTTAAGGGGTCCCCAGCAGCCCCACCCCACCCCATCATCTTTCGAGTGACAATCCCAGGTGTTACATTTCCACCCCCTTTTTCCTCACTGCCGGTGGAAGGGAGACTTCAGAGAGGATTAGATGAAAGCTGATGGCCCCAGTGTTATACTTTAGTCCTTTTGGTGGTATCCACATTCAATCCCCTTTGAAGTTGTACCGAAGGAAGTGAGAGCCATAAAACCCCTTTGTTCACCCCCCTTCCCCTTCATCGTATGAGAGAATCCAGAGAGGGCAGAAATGGGGTTTTCCATAGTCGATAACTAGAGATGAAATATAATTGGATTCTGACATCCTGCCCCCTTAAAAATAAGATAGATCCACCTGAAAGAAAACAAACAGGTATACAAGTTAGTCAGGCTTGTTAAGATACTCTGTGTGAAACTTCTTGAATAGCTTCGGGGCTCTGACAAGACGTTTATGGACCCACTCGTTTTGTGAGGCAGGGAGGTGTTTCCATGCAACTAGGTACTGAGTTGTTCCATGATATCTCCTAGAGTCTAGGGTTTCCTTTATTTCAAAGTGTTGTTCACCCTCCACCATGATTGGAGGTGGTGGTGGGGGGATTTTTGGCCGTAACAATGACTGATGCTCTCTTTTCAGCAAGCTGCAATGAAAAATTGGGAGTATTTGCCTGAGATTTTTGGGTAATTCTAATTCTACTGTTACTGGGTTTATGATTCTTTTAATTGGAAAAGGCCCTATATATTTTGGTCCAAGTTTTTTACAGAGTTGTAGGGACTTTAGGTATTTTGTAGATAAGTACACCATTTCTCCTATAATGAATGGTATAGGCTCAACCCTTTTTTTTATCGGCTTCTGCTTTGTATGCCTGCCTAGCTTCATCTAGTGCTTTTCTAACTATTGGCCAGGTGTTTTGTAATTGTTCCATTCATTCTTTCAGTGATGGGATCGTTGGTTTGTTTGGGGTTAATTCTGGCATGGGGTTGAAACTTTGACTGGTAGTTATTTGAAAAGGAATGTAACCTGTGCTGGAGTGGACTGCATTATTGTAGGCAATTTCTGCAAAAGGGAGTAAGTCCATCCAATTTGTTTGCTGAAAATTAATAAAGCATCTTAAATATTGCTCAAGTACTGAGTGACACCATTCTGTTTGTCCATTCCCTTGTGGATGATGGCTAGATGTCAGTCCCTGAGTGGTCCCTAAGAGGGATAAAAATTCCTTCCAAAATGCAGATGTAAATTGCACTCCCCTATCAGAGATGATGCGTTGGGGTGCCCCATGCAATCTGTAAATGTGCTGGATGAAAAGTTTCACTAAGGCTTTTGCGGTGGGAATCTTTTGGCAAGGGATAAAGTGCACCTATTTGGAAAACAAGTCCGTGACCATCCAGACAACAATATTCCCATTGCTTTCTGGTAATCCCACTATAAAATCCATGGCTATTTCCCTCCAGGGGGCGGAGGGATTTGCCACTGTTTGTAACAGTCTGGGCGATTTCCCTTGCAAACTCTTTGCAGTTGCACACTTTGGACAGCTGGCCACGTAACTTTCTATGTTCTTTTTTATGGATGGCCACCAAAATTGCCGTTTAATTAAGTGTAATGTTTTTACAAATCCAAAATGCCCTGCTGATTTTGTGTTGTGGCAAAGCTGCATGAATGTGACTCTTTGGGTTGTTGGTATATATAACTTTTCCCCCACCCAAGGCAGCCCATCTCTCATTGTGCACACATTTTTATTTTTCTGGAACCATTCATCTGTTTCCAAACTTTTCTGGAATTCAATTCCGGTTTGGCTGCCCAGTTGTGGTTTTAATTTAGCTTGGACTCTGGTGTTACTGGCGCTGCCAGTTGTGATTCTAACATCATCGGTTTAGAGTCGGTGGCTCGCATTATGTTATATTCGGGCATGCGAGATACTGCATCTACCAGGAAGTTCTTTAGCGTAAATTGGAACTGGTGAAAATGCTGGGACCAGCGGGCTTGCTTGGGATTGAGCTTGCTGGATGTTTTCAGGGCTTCCAAATTTTTGTGGCCAGTCCACACCTGGAAGAGGATTTTGTTGCCTTCAAGGAACTGGCGCCACGTGAGTAATAACCAACGTATCCTGTATGTCTCTTTCTCCCATACGGGCCAGCGCTGTTCCATTTCCGTGAGTTTCTTGGATGTATATGCACAGGGTTGCAATACCCCATCATCGTTTTCTTGTAATAGTACAGCCCCCACTGCCACATCACTTGCATCCACCTGTATTACGAAGGGCTTATCCATGTCTGGGTGCCTCAGTACTGGTTTGGCAGAGAAAAGTCTCTTTAATCTCTCAAACGCTGCTTGGCTCTCTATTGTCCATATTAGTGGCTGGCTAGGTTTTACTGAGGATGCTACTTTCATTTTTAGTAAGTTCGTGAGGGACAGGGCTATCTGGGCAAATGAGGGGATGAACTGGTGGTAAAAGTTTGCGAAGCCCAGGAAACTTTGCAGTTGCTTTCTTGTGCAGGTTGGTCCCTATTCGAATACTGCTCTGACTTTCTCTGGGTCCATTTCAATGCCCTGGGGGGATATGCGATAACCTAGGTAGTCTATCCTTTCCTGGTGGAATTCGCATTTCGAGAGTTTGGCATATAGGTGGGATGCTCGCAGTTTCTTTAAAACCGCTCTGACTAGGTTGATATGTTCCTCTTTTGATTCGGTGAAGATAAGAATGTCGTCCAAGTAAACAAGGACCCCCTTAAACAGGTGCTCCCTTAGAACATCATTGATTAATTGCATAAAGACTGCGGGAGCCCCTTGTAATCCAAATGGCAAGACTTTGAATTGGTAGCACCCCACTGAGCAATTAAATGCAGTCTTCCATTCATCCCCTTCCTTAATTCTCATGCGATAGTAAGCTTCCCTTAGGTCTAGTTTAGAAAAAAAATTCCCTTTCGAGAGATGTGACAGCATGTCTTTCATGAGGGGCAGGTTGCTTTCACTGATTGTATTCAGGGCCCTATAATCCACACATAAGCGTAAAGAGCCATCCTTCTTCTCTTTAAAGAGGATGGGGGCAGCCACTTTAGGCTTGGCTGGCTCAATGAACCCCCTTTCTAGGTTTTTCTTTATGAATCTTTCCATTTCCTCCTTCTCCTTTGGGCTCATGGAGTATAATCTGGGCTTCGGGAGTTTTGCCCCAGGCTTGAATTCAATGGCATAGTCTGTGGGTCAGTGGGGGGGAGCTCATCTGCCCTCTCCTCACTGAAAACCTCAGCAAGGTCTCTGTATTCCTCTGGTATTTCTGGTAGTCCCTTTTCCTCTCCCATGGATGCTTTTTCTATTCTTGATTCTGGTAGCCCCCCCTTGGGATTTTAAGTCTATAGGGTCCCCCTTCAGGAATTTGATTTCTGCTGTCCTCCAATTTACCCAGGGGTTCCATTTTTTTAACCATTCCATTCCTAGGATCATTGGGCATTCCATGCCTGGGGTTACCACAAACTTTATGTCCTCTTCATGTTTGCCCAGGGAGAGTATATTGGTAAAGTGGCTAGGGTAGCTGGCACACCCCCTGCTATGGATCCATCTAACTGGCCAAATGAGATTGGTTGTTCCAGTCTCGACGAAATGCCCAGATTCCCCACTAGTGTTGGGCTAATGAGGCAGTGGGTGCAGCCAGGGTCTATTAAGGCTTTCACCTTCACAGCTTTGGGCATGGGGGAATTAATATAGTCACTGTCTTGAGGATGGGTGCGATGCGTCCACTTACCAGGGTTTCGCCCTCCGAGCTGTCATCTGAGGCGTCCACCGGCCCTGCAGTGTAGGCTGGAGTTCTTTCCCCCTGATGAGCAGAGGTGGGGGGTTCCACAATTTCCATCATTCTTATGGCAGTTTCTTTTGGCTTAGCTGAAGACTTTCCGGATTTGCTAGCCGGTGATCTGTCTGGGTTGTGCTGGGGGGCTTTGGAGCCGTATTCTACAGCCTGATCCCTTCTCTCCTGCACTTGAAACACCCCATTTGTTTCTTGGGCCTAGCCGATGGTTTCACTGGTTCACGTGTCAACTCAGGCGGTGAGCGGCTCCATTGTTTTCCTTGGCAGTGCCTCTTCAATACATCAATCTCTGCTTCCTCTGCCAAGACATACCATTCCTCAAGTTGGTATGGGTCCCCGCAGGGGAGGCAAGCATCATATAGGTCATAATTTAGTCTGTCTTTGAAATGGCTAAGCAGCATGTCTTCTGGCCAGTTCAGTTTGCTTGCAGTAGCCCAGAATTCTTGCGTATATTCAGCTACCGGGCGTTTGCCTTGCCTCATTGTTTTTATCCTTTCGTGGGCTTTGTCAGGGAGTCCTCAAATCACCTTCTCAGAGAGGACATGAAACAGTTGAATTCATTGAGCTCTGGGGCATTGGAGTTGTGCAAGTTAACCACCCAATTTGCGGCCAGCCCGTCCAGGGCAGATTGCACGATCTGGATATGGGCTTTGTT